GTTTTGTCCTTACAGTACATTTGATGAGTCTGTATTTGAGAGCTTGCCTAAGGCCCTACAAATGAATGGGTGGGAATTGAAACTCTTATTTGACTGGCTATAAAGCCCAAAATGTTCTTTTTTATTTTTCTTTTTTGAGGTTTTTGCTATAGGGCGTGTGCACTTGCCAGACAGACAGAGAGAGACAGAGAGACAGAAAGCGAGAAATCACCCCCCAGGGGGGATGGCCACGCCGCAATCCCTTCTCCTTCGTTCTCCTCTAGGGATCTTGGGCACACACACACATGCACCCGGCGTGAGTTTTAAGCCACCGGGTCCTGGACGCGAACCGTGGTCGACTACGTGAGAGTCCAGCAACATAGCCATTACGCTAACTGCTGGTCCCCTATGAGCAATTCTTTGTGAAAGCTAAAATAATAGTCCTCTCGTTTATCATCTGAAAGTTTCAGTGGTTAAATTCTGAAGCAGCTCTTGCAGTTTTTCCAATTTAAATCTTAAATCATAAGCAGAAGTATGACAATATCTTACAAACACAGCTATCACACAGTGGAAGGCAGATGTGGGGAAAGAGACAGGAGGATCTAAAGTAAATGTTCTGAATGAAGTTTCTAAGTAGGAAAGTTTTCATTTATTAATTAATTAATTAACCAGAGGGCACATGTATGAGAGAAAGAGAAGCCTCCAATGGGCTGTGGTCTTACAATCCCTTCTTGTCCATCGTGTCGGGGTTTGGGGCATGAACACACATCCCCTCACCCAGTATGTTTTTTAAGCCCCCAGGGCTGAGATTCACACCACAGCCAGGTGGGATCCAGCTTTCTTAATTACTACACTACAGGGTCAGCCCAACATATTTTCATTTAAAATGACATAGACATTATAAAATTATGACCTTGGCCCAGTCTTCCTCTTCTGAATATCTTCTATTCTGTGTTAAAAATTTCCTTCACCTGGAGCCGGCAAGTGGCGTGGTGGAAAAGGTGCTGGATTCCCACATGGCCACCCGCAGTTCAATTCCCGGAACTAGTGGCTTGCTTTCTCGCTTTCCCTCTCTATATATTCAAATTAAAGAATAATAATGACAATTTTAAAATAAATAAATAGGGGACCAGCAGGTGGCATGGTGGTTAAGGTGCTGGACACTCCCACATGGCCAACCACGGTTCTAGTCCTGGACCTGGTGGTTTGCTTTCTCACTTTCTCTCTCCCTCTCTGCATCTCTCTCTGATCAAATTAAAAGTGAATAAATAAACTTAAATAAATAAATAATTATTTAAAAAAAAAAAATTCCCTTTACCTTTCCTATTAAAATGCTCTGTCATTGGGACCAGCAGTTAGCGTAATAGTTATCTCACTGGACTCCCATGTAGTCAACTGCAGTTCGAGTCCCGGACCCAGTGGCTTAATGTCATGCCGAGTGCATGTGCATGCGTGCCCAAGATCCGGAGAGGAGAATGGAGGAGGGTGATTTCTCACTTTCTGTCTCTCTGTCTCTCTCTGTCTGGCGAGCACACACGCCCTATAGCAAAAACCTCTCCAAAAAAAGAAAAAAAAAAAAGCTCTGTCATTCATACTTCCCCGGCACTTCCATCTCCCTTGACCCAAGGGTACATCCTTCCTGGTGCCCCCCACCACCAACCCTCTCTTTCAATTTGGAAGTTTTTCAGTCACCATACCGTCTCCATTTCCTCACCTTCACAGTAATCGTCCTTTCCAGCATAGCTATTATTCATTCCCTGAGCGCAGCTTTCATTTTTTCCACTACTTCTGTTTTTTCATTAATGTATACAGTAGTATGACATTCAAAAGGTATGCATATTATACTTCAATGAAGAGTTTTTCAAAGTCAACCAAAAGACTTACAAGGGTATACCCTGAAAAATCCACCCCCTTTGTGACCCAAATTCCCATATTCCCAGAAGCAACCAATGGATAAAGTATCCCTGGAGATTCCTTAAGTCAGTTTCTTGTTTTATCTTTCCATTGTATCTATTTACAAATATATTTACAAATATATGAGTTTTGGATGTGTGCATGTTCTCTATTCTCCCAGCTTTATATACAAGTGTTAGAATATTCTATATGCTTTTCTACTGGATCCTGAGTATTTTAGTGACCATTCCATATCAGTATCTAAATTTTTTTCCTTTTAATGGACAGGGGGTATTTCCTTTTATGGATATGCCTTAATCAGTCCCCTATATTATACATCTATGTTGCTTCCTACCTTATAACAATGTTGCAAGCAATAAGCTCTGACATACATTATGTACCATCTGTACAAGTGTACCTAATGCATAAGTTCCAAGAAGCGGAACTGCTGGGTTACTAAAGGGTATGTTCCTTTATAACTTTGCAAGATGCTTTAATATTGCCATACCTAGAGGCTGCACGAAGAAAGAACTAAAATACCTACTTTCCTCACATATTTGCCAACAGTTTCATTACCAAACTTTGAGTTCACTGTCAATGAAATAACTGGAAAATATTATCACTGAGTAGATTTACTCTGCATTTCTTTCTGAAAAAATGAATTTTTTTTTTTGAGAGGATTTTTTCGCTATAGGGCACGTGCGCTCACCAGACAGAGAGAGACATAGAGACAGAAAGTGAGAAATCACCCCCCAGGGGGGATGGTCATGTCGCAATCCCTTCTCCTCCATTCTCCTCTCGGGATCTTGGGCACACACGCACACGCGCCCAGCGTGAGTTTTAAGTCACCGGGTCCGGGACACGAACCACGGTCAACTACGTGGGAGTCCAGCGACATAGCCATTGCGCTAACTGCTGGTTCCCAAAAAATGAAATTTTTTTGTAACACTTAACCATTTTTATTTCCTTTTCTATAAATTATTTATAACCTTTGAGTAATTGGTCTTTTTCTTATTATTTGTTAGAACTTTTATATATTAGAGCGATGAGCTTTTAACCTGTAACATAAATTGCAAATATTTTTCCAGTTTGAATACTAATTTTTTAAAACTTTTTACCTAAATATAGCATACATAATGTGGACAAAAATGTACAGCTCTATGAATTATCATAACATGAACACACCTGACCAATACTGAAGATGTAGAAACAACAATACCAGCACCCAAAGGGTCCTCAAGCTAGCTTCCCATAGCTACCTGTCATCTAAGTGTTACTACCAGCCTTACTTCTTGTTCCACAGAGCAATGTACTTGTGCACTATAAACATATACAACTATATAGTATGGATTCCTAGTCTGCCTTATTTCATTCAAAGTATTCATGAGAATCACCCAGGATGTTGCAAGTAGATGCGCATCATGATGCTGCTGTAACATTTTATTTACTATGTGTCCTTCGATGAGCACCAACTCTTTTTTGGGGGGATATACTCAAGCTGTAGTATTATTAGGTAATAAATATGAAGTTCCTAAAGTTTACTTTTACAAGATATTGCCAAACAGATTTCCAAAATGACTACTAATTATTCCCACCAGCAACATATGAGAATTTTATGACCACTGAACTTTTTAAGTGACAAAAATCAGAATCCACTGTTGAGTCAAGTACCTTCACTGTCTTTTTTTTTAATCATTTTTTAAATCATTTTTTATCATTGAGCAAGTTCTAACTTACCTTCACATTTCTGAACCATATTTCCAACTAATAGCTCCACTTCAATTCAAAATAACCTAAAAATTCACATTTCTTCCAACTTCCTCCATCTCAGTTAATGATATTGCCATTTCCCAAGCAATCTGAACAACTAGCCTCACTCTTTTCTGGCATACTACTATTTCCCGAAATCTAGTCGCCAAATTCTAACCATTCTAATTCTCTTTATTAGCCACTTTCTTTCCATTTTTGTTCTAATAATTCCTAGATTCCTACAATATCCTAAGGTATCTCCCATTCAACTGATCATTGTTATCATAAGATTTGCACAGCAAGTTAAACTAGCAACTAACTAGTCCTGCTTACCAAACAAGCCTCAACTCTGCTGCATGGGAGTCAAAACTCTACCCACTCCCTGGTCCTGCTCTTACCTCTTCGGCATCATCTGTTAATCTCTGATCATTCTCCTCTTCTCTTGCCATAAATGTCGGCAATGCTAAATTTCACGTTCTCAAAACATGCCCATCCCTTACCTTCTCATTATCTTTCAACTGGATTTTCCCTCCATTTGGAATTGCTCAAACCCCAAATATTACCTTTTGAAGCTCTACCTCAAAGGTGATCAACTTCCTATATGAAATTCTTTTGCTAACCACTCATGCAAAAGTTATTCCCCTCTAAACTCCAAAAGCATTTGATTTGCCTCCCGTGATGCTAATCACTGTGTTTTGCATTCTTGTCTTAACCTTTTCTGTTCCCTGACTGACAGTTTCTTAAGAACTAGAAAAATACCTTGTTGATAACTTTACTTCTACAGCATTAGACATTTAGGAGACACTTAGGATAAGCAATACTTAGAACAACTTTTTTCTCTGGCACCTTCTGAACCTATTAAAAGTAAGTCTGGGTTTGACAGACCAGTGAACACCCTTCCTCATTCTAGCTCAGGCGCTGGAGATGGCAGCACAGCTGCACCTTCACAAATTAAGGCTCAGTGTTCTGCAGACCTAAAACAGCCTCTATTTCTACTACCTGACTGCATGCTAATAACAAACCTAACTGCCACTTCTAGTGGTCTTGTCCTTTGAGATTTCATTTATCTTATTTGACACTTTTCTCCTATTTCTGCAACTCTTCTTAGCTTTGACTCCCCAAAATGAGTTGGCCTTTGTAACTCTCATTTATCAATCACAGCGTTTCTTTTCCTCAGGTCAGAATTTAGAAGTGACCAAGTAAAGCCTAAAGTCCCTTCCAATCCTGCAATACTACAGGTTCTAAAAAGAAATAAAGAGAGTACTAATCCAACTCATTATCCTTGCTTAAGAAAATGGCTCGGCTCCTTCTATAATAATTAAGACTAACTCAAGTGTTTGTTCCCATAAAAACAAGCAAAGAGCTTCCAGTAAACAACCACATACTAGACGGGATCTGATGTGACTGACCAAATACACAGGGTAGTCTCACACCACCACCAGGAACAAGGAAAATGGTCCAATAAAATGGTTAGCTATATACTTACAACCAGATCTGAACACTTCATTCATCTCATCATTTAGGGGCACATTTGAATCTTGTTCATTATTAAAAGATGTATAATAGGCCAGATCAGTGACCCATTTGCCCTCCTCGTTTTGATAGACCACATTCTGTGGGAGATCCGTTTCTAAAAAATAAAATTGCAAAAGTATTCAATGACAAATGCAAAAAACTAAAATGATAAACAGACATTTTATTTAGCTGATTGCCTTAGTTACTGATGTGTACCCTAAACTAGCTAAAAAACGGAAAATTCATTTCCCCAAAGAAAAGCACCTCTTCAACAGCAGACAAGCCAGCCTTACTTGCAATAAAAGTCTCAAATGGAGAATAAGAGAAAAAGCTAAGAAGTAGAAAATGTACACTTTCACTAGATCTGAAAAAGGACATGATTTCTGAGAAAGAGTTCTTCTACACTATTAATAGAATATTTAAAAATCTTTAAAATTTTTGAAACACTCAAGTTATTTCAATATGAAAGACTGGCAAGTTCCAACATGAAAACATGTTCAGCATTACAAACATATATTTCTTTAATTCTTTTTTCTTTCAAGCCCACTTACGCTCTTTACTCTTTTCACTGGATTCGTAACATTCACATGTTCGCCTTTCACAAGTTGGCGACCAAAGAATATCAGCAGAGTTAATTCCATTATCATTAGTAGGCTTCAAAGATGCCATGTCCACATTTTTTTGAATGGGCATTGTAGGCATCTCAGTGTCTAAATATCCATCCATGTGCGAAGCTATTTCTGATTCTGATGTCAAATCCTTATTTTGGTGAGAAGACTCTGTTTCCTGTTTTATTGAGTCAGTCTGGTCAAAACCACTTTTATCAGCATTCATGTCATAAAAATAAACAGGGTTAAGATTTGCACTAGTAGCCTTGAGAGTCTTTGCCAGAATATCTTCTTTTGAGCTTTCCTTTAAAAATCAGTAACAGAGCAACAGTAAGTTTTTTCATAATTCATTTTAAAATTTCATGTAAAAAATTCACAAAGTTGATACAGAAAGTTTATTATATGAAGGAACACACTGTAATCTAATCTATATATGAAGCAATGACAAGCAGTTTACCAACATTGAACTTTAAAATGTGGTCAGAGTAAACATATATCAATACATCAACGAAATTAGGTACTGAAAATGGGTCCTGTGTGTCCATTACATCACTGGATGATAAAAATATCAGTTTAACTTATAATTACCAGTAAAAGTCTCTACAAAGATAGTAAATCACCAGTGTGACCAACCTCATAAAATTAAAATAATAGTCCTTGAAAACACATATATCAATATCATCTATTAGGAATAAGAAAGAAAATACTACAAAACCTCAAGGAGCCCAGTAAAATTCTATCAGACACAGCAAATTAAGCCAGCTCCTCTCAAACACATTTTCCCAAATGGTACTCACTATTTCCTAAAATAACAACTGCCAAAAAGGAGATTAAAAATTTTAAATAACACAGTATAGCAACTATTTATAGAGCATTTACATTGTTTCAGATAGCACAAGTAATCTAGAAATGAAGACTATGGAAGAATATGCATAAATTCTATGTAAATACCGTACCATTTTATATAAAGGGTTTTAAGCATTCACAGCTTTTGGAATCCACAAGGGTTCCTGGAAACAATCCTGTGTCTAATAAGGAACTACTATAAAAACAAACACACTCCCTCTAAATAGTAAAAACCACTCTGTAATCCTGAGATACGCATATACTACTAAAAAGGAGATAAAGAATAGCTGAGAACCAGAAATGGCAAGCACAAGAAATGAGGTATCATTAACAACAGAAAAAAGTGCAATAATAAAAATCAAATGTGCTTAAACAGGGTAAAACATGATCAGTTGTCTATTTTAATGACTGGACACTGGGTTAAAGAAGTTTCAAATGGGAACCAGCAGTTAGCGTAATGGCTATGTCGCTGGACTCCCACGTAGTCGACCACGGTTCACGTCCCAGACCCAGTGGCTTAAAACTCATGCCGGGCGTGTGTGCGTGCGTGCCCAAGATCCCGAGAGGAGAATGGAGGAGAAGGGATTGCGGCGTGGCCATCCTCCCTGGGGGGTGATTTCTCGCTTTCTGTGTCTCTGACTCCGTCTGGCTGGCAAGTGCACAAGCCCTACAGCAAAAACCTCTCCAAAAAAAAAAAAAGTTTCAAATGAAATCTAAGTGTAAGTCATTAAGTATTTAAATGTAAAAAACATATAAAATTCAGTATTTAATATACTATAACAAAGATACACATTTTCATTAGTGATTTTCATATTTTTGCAATATTTTTCAGAAGCCAACGGTAATGGTTTCTTTGAAAAAGACTGACATCAAGCCAGCCAGTGGCATGGTAGTTAAATGGTGGTTAAAGGAAGCTGGATCCCACACAGCCAGCTGCACAGTTAGAGTCCCATACCTGGTGGCTTTGAAAACACACCAGGCACGTGTGCATATGTGCTCAAAATCTCAAAACTCAAATGGAGAAGAAGGAATTACAATGTGACTATCCCCAATAGGAAGCACTTTCTCACTTTCCTTCTTTATTTTTTTGGAGGGGGAGATTTTTGCTCCAGGGCATGTGTGCTCACCAGAGAGACCGAGACAGAGAAACAGGAAGCAAGAAACCACTCCTCTCAGGGGAATGGCCAAGCTGCAATCCTTTCTCCTCTACCTCCTCTCAGGATCTGGGGCATGCAAGCACACACGCCCTGCATGAGGTTTAAGCCACCAGGTCCAGGACTCAAACCACGGTCAACTACATGGGAGTCTAGAGACATAACCATGATGATGGCATCAGCAGTTAGCGTAATGGCTATGACGCTGAACTCCCATGTAGTTGACCGTGGTGCAAGTTCTGGACCTGGTGGCTTAAACTCACGCCGGGCGTGTATGCATGTGTACCCAAGATCCCAAGAGGGGAATGGAGGAGAAGGGATTGTGGCATGGCCATCCTCCCCAGGCGGGGGGTGGGGGTGGGGTGATTTCTCGCTTTCTATCTCTCTGTCTTTCTGGCGAGTGCACACAACCTTATAGCAAAAACCCCTCCGGAAAAAAACAAAACAAAACAAAACAAAAAAACATGTTGCCATAGGTTCCTTATTTCTTTTCACAGATAATTTAAAGAAAATACATACAAACTTACTTGGCTTTTATCTAGAACAGTACCCTTAGAAGTATCTACCCACTCTTTCTCAATTCCCCAGGTACTAGAGGAAGATGGTAACACACCATCTACATGCCTTCTACTATCTCCAGTGCCTATAGAATTACCTGGAAAAGAAAAACAAATTAATGGATCATTGTCAAAGTTTGAGTAATCTAATGTAATAATTGCTTATCAATCAAATTACTTTATGTAAATCTAATACTTAGCATTCACATGACAAATTTAACAATTTGCATATGAGAGAAAATAAGCATCAATAACATTCAATTATAAACATGACTATTTGCTCCAACATAGAGAGAATTAATTTCTAATTTTCCAATGTTTGAATAAAATACAAACATTTGTGCCAGTTAATGGCATAGTGGTTAAGGTGGCTGCGACCTACATGGCTGACTGTGCAGTTAGAATCCTGGATCAGGCAGCTTGAAAAACACACTGGGCACTTGTGCCTGCATGCCCAAAATCCCAACAGAAGAATGGAGGAGAAGTGACTGTGGCATGACCATCCCCCTCAGGGGTGATTTCTCATTTATATCTCTCTCTTTGTCTCTCTCTCTCACACATGTACACTATATTTAAAAAAAATGTTTAAATACAAGCATTTGAAATATTCTTATATAAACATTTCTGATAATGTTTAATTATTTTACTCTGATATCATTAAAATCTCTTTTGAAAAGTCTTAAGACTGTCTAATGATCTGAGGGGAAAGAATGGTTAATACATACTAAATCATACAAAAGAAATAAGTTTTTTTAAAAAAGGTAAAGTCGGGGCCGGCAGATGGCATGTGGTTAAAGGCACTGGATTCCCACATGGCTGACCACAGTTCGAGTCCCAAACCTAACAGTTCTCTCTCTCTCTCTCCCTCTCCCTCTCCCTCTCCCTCTCTCCCTCCCTCTCTGGTCAAATAGAAACAAACAAATGAATAAATAAATAAAGTGAAATAAAATAATTCTTTAAAAATAAAAAAGTCAAACAGAATTTTTTTTTTAATTCATATTTAAATACTTACTAGTTCCAGGTAGAAAAGCATGGCCTTTCTCAGACTGTTTGTGTGTCATTTCAGAATTTCCCAAAGAGTGTGAGTCATTGGAAATCAGAGAGCTATTATTTTCTGATCGAAATCTACAGCTTAAGCTTCTGTTTTCATTTGTCTGTTGAAAAAAATCTTAGCTATAGTAATCTTTTAAATTAAAATTCAGTATTTTGAAGGAGAAAACTTGAACACACAATGTCTGCTTTACTGAAGGATTCCAGGTAATAAATACTGAGGAAATTTTTTGAAACCACCATTATAACCATTAGTGTAATAAATGTTTCTAGGAGGCTTCAGTAATAATATCGAAACCAGTTACAAAGGGGTGTGGGGAATGAAGAGTGTTCACACTACCCTGATGTATATTCAACAGATGACTTATTTATAACACAGGGGAAAAGGTACTTTCGCAAGCAGATATTTGGCCAACACCAACTTAATCAAAATAATTAAATATGGCATCACCAATAGTGGGACAGACTTATACTTCTGATGAAAGGCAATGAGAAATATACAACACTGCCTATGTGTAACCTGAATCCACTCCTAAGAAAGCTGCCTAACTTGAATTCTTACCAAAATGTTTAATCTAATTTAGTCAGGAGAAAAACAGCAATGAGATATGTCTAGATTTTTGGGACATTCTACAAAACAAAGTGCCTACAATTAAAAAAAAATGTTTAATGTCATGAGAGAACTACTCTAAGGAGAACAAAGAGAAATGACAACAAAAGACAAGTGTAATCTCTGATTAAACTCTGGATCAAAAACAATAAAGGATATCTGGAGGATAACTGGGTACATCTGAATATGGATTACACATTAACATAAATTACTGTATCAAAGTTAGATAATAAATTGTAACTGTGTAGGAAAATGTCCTTATTCGCAGAGACAAATGCTGAAGTACTGGCATGAAATGTCATATATGCAACTTACTTTTAAATGATTCGGGGAAGAAAATGCTTATGGAGGGAGAAACAAAAATGCAAGGTAGCAAAACATTAACAACTGCTTAATGTGGACAAAGGATATAGGGATGTCCAGTGTAATCTTCTCTTCATTTTCTGAACATGAAGGAAAGATAAGAGGAAATAGAAAAGGGCAGGCATTTCTCATTAATTTGTATCTGGGAGACAGAGTCTGAGAAAAACCAAAGGCTTAAATTTAATATCCAGTGAGGCTAACAGTAATTTCTTTTTTATTTCAATTATTTATTTAACTTTACTTATTTATTCACTTATTTTAATTTGACCAGGGAGAGACAGAGAAAGAGAAAGAGAGAGGGAAAGTGAGAAAGCGAGCTGCCAGGTCCAGATTCAAACCATAGTCGGCCATGTGAGAGTCCAGTGCCTCAACCACCACACCACCCACCAGCCCCGCCAACAGTAATTTCTAATGGCAAGTTTCTGAAAAAACGTAAAGATTGTAACATACCTGAATAGGATCATTTATAGGTAACTTAAAATCTTTTTCTGAAGAGTCCTCTCCTTCTAGGTCTTCATATATCATTCCTGGAATTGCCAGTTGTTCAAAATAAGCCTCCAAATGATCATCATAAAACTCATCATCATCAATATCATCATCTGTTTGTAAAAAGAAGAAAAAAACAGAACAAGCTTTAGAGACTGAACTGTTAACATTTTTTTTTTTTTTTGGAGAGGTTTTTGCTATAGGGTGCGTGCGCTCACCAGACAAACAGAGAGACAGAAAGCGAGAAATTACCCCCCCAGTGAGGATGACCACACCACAATCCCTTCTCCTCTATTCTCCTCTTGGGATCTTGGGCAAGCACGCACACGCGCCCGGTGTGAGTTTTAAGCCACCGGGTCCGGGACGCGAACCGCGGTCAACTACGAGGGAGTCCAGCAACATAGCCATTACGCTAACTGCTGGTCCCATGAACTGTTAACAATTCTTAATCAAAAAAACTGAGAAGACAAAGATGAGTCAAATGGACTATGTGACTTTTTTTTTAGAGGTATTTTTATTTTTGCTATAGGACGCGTGCACTCACCAGAAAGAGAGACAGAAAGCGAGAAATCACCCCCCAAGGGGGATGGTCACGCTGCAATCCCTTCTCTTCTCAGGATCCTGGCCACGCATGGACACACACCCGGTGTGAGTTTAAGCCACAGGGTCTGGGACTCAAACCACAGTTGACTACATGGGAGTCCAGCTAAATAGCCATTACTCTAACTGCTGGTCCCTACATGACTTTTTTTTAAAATCAGACATAAAAAACTATTATAATTTCAGACAATTTTAAGTAAACATAAACACTGTAATATAAACTAAATATTTAACCTCTTTGAGAGGACAGGAAATTCAGAAACCTAGGATATTATCAAAAGTTAGGAAATGATAAATGTACCATCACATATCTACAGGAAAAGAACAGGCTACTACTCAGAATACAGTGTGGCGAATGGTTAATTCCATAAAAGAAAAAAAAAAAAAAGCCTATCACAGAAGTAAAAATAATGAGGGAATGAGAGAGAC